TTATCATAATTTTAACAAAAAATGTTACAAATTATCCAATGATATATTACTCTGATAACTGAAATAAAATAGTATTTTTTTTTGAAATAAATATAATATTTTTAGGTTTTTATGTCAATTATAATTTATTGTCTAAATTTTGAATTTTATTCCCTTTTTATAATATAATAATTAAGATAAAGCAAATTTCATTTAAAGTTTTTCAAATGTGTTAAATATCAATAAAATTACTCTAATCGTTAATTTTTTTGATAAATAATTTTTGTTGCAATTTCAAAGGAAAAAAAAAACAAAAGGAGATTCACAATAGAAGTTTCAATAAATTTCTTAACTTTATCTATTTCTGGTAAATTTTTTTCATTTTTACTTGAAAACTTTCGAATAAACTTATATGGTTATTTAGACTGGATATTTTAATTATACAGTTAAAGATTTAATTATACAATCAAAAATTAACTACAAAATTACATGTGTTAATTTTATTTAATTTACTACGAATGATTGCATAAATTTATCAGTTTTAATATCTACAAACTAATTAATCACTTTTAAGTGAACAAAGCAACAAAAACTACGTTGCATTATTCACCGGTTTTATTCTCTCACCTGAATTGCAACCTGAAAAATTCATCAGAAATATCAGCTGGAGTTCAGTCTGGAAATTTTACTGGAATATATGATTGCTCATTTTAGAACTATTCATGTTACCATTTAATCGGAATCAACACTTTAATCCATCTTAAATACGAAAACAATATTTTTAATCTGGAAAAGTAAACAGTTTGCAACAAATAAATGAAATGAATATTTTACAGTTTAAATTTTCAAATCGGACATTTTTCCTAGTTAATAAATTATCGTGGATTTTTATGTATAATAATAATAATAATTACCGCACAAACAATTTTATTTCTTATGAAAATAATTTTGTTTTTATTATTTTCCTCTTTTCTTTTCTAAGAAAACGCTAACTTTTTGTTAAAAATGAATAAATATTAGTGTTTTCTACTAGCAAATATTGCAAATAATATTCAAAAAATCAAAAAATGAAATTAAAATTAAAAAATTCTTTCTTCGTGACAAAGTATGAAACAAAAATTTTAACAAATATAAATGGAAGGAACGTGAAAATTAAGAAGTGAAAAAAAAAAAAAGAAAAATGAAAGCATTTTTAAATGCAAATGTAACTTTATTTTACTTTTGAGCACAATAAATAACAAAGTTAAAAAAGAATTTAAAAACAAATTGGGAAAAGTTGAACAGAAAAGTGCAAAATAAATCTTTTCGAATTTCAAACGATTATACTATTTATATTCAATTTATTGATGAAAAAAAAAATGTCAAACTGAAGAATTTTTTGAATGCAAGAATGAAATGAAATAAAAGAAACTATCAACATGCATACCCAATTACATTACTGTGACAATTGAATAAGCTTTTATAAAAAAAAAAAGAAAAATAAAAAAAAAAAAAAAAGGAAATAAGTTCTCAGTTATTCAGTGATAATTTCTTCAACGGTAATTTCTGTTTTCTTTGTTAGGAAGCATGATTAATATAAAGAATAAATGTAACAAAATTCTAACCTAAAAAGTAATTTCAGTGTTGTTTGAATATTAAAATACTAATTTCTACAACGAAAAAAAAGGTCCGCTAATGTTTTTATTTAATGAAACATCAGAATATTTTAGAGAAAAGATAGAGGAAGATAATATGATACCTTTTTCAAATCAATAAGAAATAATGAAAAATTGGTTCTTTTGATTAAAAATTTAAAAATTGAAAAAAAAGCAAATAACTGTTCTTCATTATTATGCTACAAATGTCATAGAAAAATTGTGAAGGTTCAATTTATATGCTATTGTCAAATTTTACATTTTTTGAGTGCTGAAATTATCTGATAAATTTTAAAAGTGCAAAAGCGTCAATAGCTGCAGCTATCTGCGCACACATTCATAACTAAATTTTTTAACCTTTTTTCTTCTCGTTGAATTGTAACAAAACAAAAAAATAGAAAAAATTTCAAACTAAAAATCTGGCAATAATCTTTTTCCACATTTTCTTGAAAACATTTAGAAACTAACTAATATTTTCTTCTTATCATTATTTTTGTTTATTATAATCGTTACCATTACTATTGTTACTATCACTATTGCAATAGCTAAAGATTGAATAAGGGAAAAAAGCAAAGAGGATGTTAAAAGAAAATATTAAAATTACCATTAATTATTATTAGTCATATATCAATAAAATAGACGCAGCGCTTATAGTAGTGATGGTAAATGAATAATGCTAATAACTTAATTAAAAAAAAAAAAAAATTGTAAGCATTTTTAATTTCAGAATTTTTCATTTTTACTAACTTAAATTTAATATATATAGCACAAATTAAGCTTCCGTTTTATTAATTGGGTAATTTGAAGCTTAATTAGATAAGTTTAAAATTAACAGTAATGATAATAAATTTCATAAGCAAAATTTTGCTTCGGTTTTATTTAACAGGGTTTTTCAACAAATCTTCCCATAATTTTGCTTGATAAAATTAATTGGTTGGGAAATTTATTCTTATTGATTGGTTAGTAAAGCAAAGAGAGAAAACAAATAAAATCCAACATGGAATTTGTTGAAATAATTTTCTTAATTCTTATGAAAATGGAATTTTGAATGTGAATTCAAGAAACTTCAATAATGACATATTATTTGTCATAAAATATAAAAGAAAAAACAAATTGGAAGAAAAATTGCATTTGAAAAAAGAGCAAGCAAAATGGAATGTTGTTGCTCAGAAAATTTTGAAAGAAATTCATTTGCTTTCATGTTTTTAGATAAAATGAAATGGAGATGAAAATAAAGGTAGAAATAAAAATGAAATAACTGTAAAATAGTTTTTAGCAAACTATTAAATCAAATAATGGCAAATTGGCAGTGTGTTATTTCAGATTTATTGTTTAGCACACAAATAATTTTACTCCAATTGAATGAATTAGGAAGTTTTTTAAGTAAAAGCTAATTTTTACAATTTGGTCATTAGGAAAAATTTTACAATGATATAAGTGTTAATTGGTTAAATAATTGATATTTGATGAATAGTTAACATTCTGTATTTAATTAATCCTCAATTGCTTGATAGGTAGCGAACGCCATGGTCAAGTTTAACACTTCTTAATTAGCTAATTAAGTTTAATCAATTCAATTAATGGACTAACTGGTCGATTGCTGCTGTTGGCTAACCTAACTGATAATAGCTGATAAAAACTGATTAGCTGATAGTTACCGATTGATTGCTTAATATTTATTTACTTCATAATTATTGCTTGCTGATTATTCAAACTTACTAATCAGTTTGATATTGATTGATTTGTTGATCAATTCGTGCATCTCTGTTAGTTTCAGTCGAATTACAGCATAAAATTGCTTCATTAAGATTGCTATTCAAAAAAACACAAATTTTAATCGTAAATACATAGATATGATTACGATAACAATCCATCTACAATCTTAAAAAAAAGAAATTCACACTTGAATAAGTTAAATAAGCATCTCTTTTTGACGTAATCTCTGGAATTTCGTAGTAAAATTCTAGAAATCTCTTTTGATACACCATTTATACATATTCTCCTTGTCATTTAAAACACAAATTCCCTCTAGAAAAAAAAACTTACTCGAGAACTTTAATTATATTCCTTGCTTTTTATATCAAATTAGCCCAACACCAATACACATATTATTATAATCAAATTTGAGATTCAAATTAACTGATTATGTGTAATTTTAAGGAACACATTCCTACTTGGCATCAATAATTCAATTAATGGACTGTGTTGTAATATGAACCATATTTTGGAATTTTTCCATCATCGTTTTTCGGTAATCCATTTTTGATTAATTGATGCTGATTAGCAAATATGAAATCACTGAACAAGCCTCTCTGATATTGTAAAAATGAACAAATTACATCTGGTTTTTTATTAGGGAATTTTAATAAACCAATACATTTGTAATAATCTAAAGCAAATTTTGCATATAAATGTAAATATGTGTGCTGTAAAGTAGATACACTTATCACACGCAGAACATTGGTCAGTGTGAGCACTTCAAAAAGAGTTAATTTCGTTAAAAATCATTACTATTGAAAAACGTATGTTTATTCTTACATCATATATATCACAATGGTATCGCTTGTTCGGTATAAAAAGCCATAAATGGGTTTCCACTGAAACTCATCAGCAATCAACTAAATAATTGAAATTGATAAAGAAAAAAAAAATGTTTTTCAGTTTCACTGATACCAATCTCCATAAAATTGATCAAATTCACATCTCCTTTGGTCAAAACAGTTGTTGGACCAACTGTTAAGAACCACTGAGCTGCTGTTGCTGCTACTGCTACATACAAAGAATTAGCCATTATTCAGATATGTGATTCTTCCATTATTCCTTGCCAGTACAATCACCTCAAAATTTAACCAGTAAATCTGGACATTAGGATGACCAAATTAAAATAATCATGCTGGATGCTTATAATAATCACCAAAGTTACAATCTACACTTTTTTGAATGGAAGATTAGGAAATACCTGTAATACTATTTCTGCAGCGCTATTCTAACAAGCAGGAAAAGATAGATAACCGAGAGTGATAATGGAATTCGATAGTGATACCAAAAGAAAGTAGGAGGAACTGCGCAGATGGTGAATATGTAAGAAAAACCCTGATAAGCACAGTCAAGCTAGGTGATATCAAACCTTCAAACCAAACAAGCCCCAAATCTGTAAAACAAATGAACCCTATACAGTTCCTGCACACAACCATTTTCATGTTCAGATCAATCACTCGCTCAAGCAATGTCTTTCTTTCCAACTTCTCAAGAATACCCACAATTTATACTATTTTATAACAAATTCGTAAAAAAATTCCAATATGCTATCTTATCTGTGTAGTTTTTTAACTTGTTGAATGTTCAAATAAAACTTTCTCTGATTTAAAACTTACCTAACATACACAGTTAAGGTTTATCCTTAGAAGCTGATGCCACTCTTTCCATAGCATTTAAACTATTCGCAGCTAAAGCTGCAGCTCGACGCCGAGCGGCAGAAGGTTGATATATTGCACGTTCTGGACGGTCCTAAAGTTAAGTTTGTATCGCAGAAACATTTTCAAAAAATAGTAAAAGTAAGAATGAAAAACAATGATCAACCAGTATCATTTCATTAACTTATTCAGATCAAAATATAAAGGTAAATTACAAACCGAATGATAATCTTGTGGAAATTTTGTTTGTAGTATGCTTTAATTAGGATATGCTCAGTCTGAGCATTTGATTAGGAAATGTCTATAAAAAATTTTTCTAATAAGAGCTGTTTGCTCTAAAAAGGTTAAGTACATAAATTTAGGTTTTGTTTTCGACTTCGTTTTCAAAGCTTAATGTTTAATTTTCTAGTTCCACTTTATTTCTAATCTAATGTTGCAAATTCATTTAACGACAGTACACCATAGTCGATAAGGGAAAAAAAATATCAAAATATTAAAAATTTTCGTAAAATAGATACTGTATGCTACCATTAGATTAGATATGTTAATATTTCGAAAAATACATCAGTTGCATATTACGGCACTTAATTTCAGAAATGAAGAGTATAAAACAGGAACAACTGTAAAATGTGGTAATGCCTGTTCGTAATGCCATACGAACAGATTCAATTCTTTAATTTCGTGACTAAATGCAACAGATATGGACAAAGACAAATCATGATTGCACTAGAAAGATCACAAATTCTCCCACAGTGAAATCTTAAAAGCCAGCTATTTTGTTAAATTGCTCACCTTATTACGACGAGGCTTAGTAAAACTATTTTCAGTTTTTTCTTCCTTTTTCCGCTTGTCTGAGTTTCTTTCATCATTCTCGGCAACTGTAGTTTTGTGCACTATTATTCGACTTGTTGCTCTCGAAACTCCACTATCCAGTTTGTCCGGTCTGGAAGTGTCCATTATATTCAGTTGAAAGCAATTGTGCACAGAAAACTGGGAAAAAGTTGACATTGCACAAATGTATCTCGAGCGTACATGCTTGGAATCATTCCGTCATTGCACCTTCATAATAAGATTTAAAAAAAAAAGTGCAGAGTTTTGCAAATTTAAGATGTGCTTCTGCAAGATCATTAACGACTCATTTTATTATAAAAAACGTGAATTGAGTAGTAGCTGCTATTCAGTGCATCAGTACTTCTTGCATCGTTTATGACCACTATTTTTCATTTTTTGAGTGACCTAGCTCACTTATGACTGCTTCCGGTTTCCTTTCATGATAATCATGGAGCATTCAGTGTTAATTTCTACCTAAGTTGAAATGCATCGATCGCGTTGTCAGTTCCATGAAAGATTTGCAGCAATTTGCTTCTATGATTTACCCTACATTATAAAACCCTGTGCAAGTACAAGCACTAAACAAAAAAGATTGCAAATTGGAACATCAAAAAGACGTACGATGTTGCCTCAACAGTATCATTCGATGATACAGTCTTCTTGAAAATAGTCCTCCCCTCGTCTTTTTTTATCCTCTTCTCTCTTTCTAGTTCTTCAACTTTTTCGGCTTTGAAGCATTGATTTTCATCATTCTGCTTCGTTTTCTTCGAAAAAGGATCACTGCCAGCTGCAAATTTAAATTATGTCCCATATTTTGCACCTGTTTACGATGCAAGTGCTGATATTCACACTATAAATTAATTACCTGACGCATCACGTCCTTTGTTCGACGACTGAATACATTTGTCACGATCACTAATATCACACCATTTATTACTTTTTTCTATCGCACCATTATAGCTATAATCGCCGGTACGGTATGTTCGAATTTTTGTTCTGTGAAAATTTCCATCTTAATGATCTCCTAACCAATTATAATTTAGATGATATACATATGAACTCTTTTTATTTAATATTCTCAATCCCAAACTTAAGAGAGCATATGAAATAAAACCTGGAGTGTCGTATAGCTACTCTAATAAAACTATCACCATCAGATGCAAATATCAAGTCCACTCAAACCAGAAAATAATTAAACATATGTCAATGGATGTATTGCAAATTTACACTTTCTGAGTGTTGATGTGTTAACAACCTTTCTTTTTCTTTCAATGAACTTTCGTTGCTTCGTTCCAACCTAGAGTTACGAAATTCAATCACTTTCTTTATGTCTTGCCATTCCTGTTTATCTTTCAATTCGTTTTCATTACGACGTTCCATCCGCTCACGCTTCTCCTCTTCACGAGCGCGTCGCTTTTCCTACAAGAAGCTTTTTAAAACTAATCATTCATGCTATAAAATTAGGATAGATGAATTATTCGAGCTTACGGAATATTATCATGGAAAGGGAAAAATAAAAAATTTTTTGATGCTGAAAAATCAAAAATGTAAAAATTATTTGACAAATTTCCCAAGATGAAGGTCTTCGGCTACAAACACACTTGTGATCTAATTACAGGCCATGTATTTTCTTCATAGTTGAGAAAATGCCAAATTCAGTCATCAATTTAATGCCCCTGAATGAGGAAAAAACCATCGTAAGAGATAGAGAGGGACAACCTCAATGCGTCTGATACTTTTCCTGATTATGTACTGCGTTAGTGGTGTTTCCTGCACAGCATTCTCTGAAACATGCAACTGACAGTCACAAAAATGACAACATTGTCGTCACCATTTTCAACTTATCCTAATTATACCGTTATCTTTTTCATACATCGACGAAAATATATCAATATTCTCCACTTCAGTACTTTCTTGCTTATTTGCCAAGATTTCATACAATCTATGAAGGTTATTGAGCTGATTCAGATGTATATATAATTACTGAAGCAGTGGTTTTGCTGTATTTAGTAATGCACAAAAATTCATCATTTTATCGCCCCCTACTACAAACTCACTCTAACTTGTGATATATTTGATTTCTTGAAAATTTGGTTAAATCTTGTCACTTTTAAATATATTTATTCACTTAAATATTTTCTAAAATGTATCTCATAAAATGATGAATTTTTGTGCATTACTAAATACAGCAAAACCACTGCCTCAGTAATTATATATACATCTGAATCAGCTTAATAACCTTCATAGATTGTACGAAATACAGTCAGAATATGCATTTAGGTACCATACAAAATCTATGGCTTCTAGAGAGTCTCCTTTAAAATACTAGGAACCCTTTCCCATCTCCCAGACATTTTTAACCCGAAAGATACTGCTAGAAACAGGTTGCAACCTAAAATTAACATTTTTAAATTTCAAAATAGAGATTTAAGGCTCACGATAATGTGACCCTACCAAAACTTTTTAAACAGATTTAGAAAAAAACTGTATTTGTTATTATTTCCTTTTACTTACCTTAATCATTCAATGTTTTTTCTACCTCTCTAGTTTTCATTTGCTGTTTACCCTCCTCTAATATATAAAAATAATTTCTAATGCTCCACCTGTTTTCCACTGAACTTTAAATTGCAATTAATAAGAAAATCAACAACATGAAATCGAAAACATCACTTTCAAGCATTTTTTCCTTTTCATCGATTTCTTTGATCAGTTGCTCCATTGGTATCGGATCTGGTTTTTGCAGATTTTCTCTTTCGCTCAAGAATTTTTTGTACTCATGATCTAAATTAATTTAAACCAATCATACTATGAAGACACTGAAACGAATGATGAAAACTGAAAAAAAAGACCTGCTTCTATAGTACCACACTTGAAATCACGTTCCTTGGCATCTTCTAATTTATCGTGTGGCACCTTTGGGTTCGGCGCAAGTTCGACAATACCAATAGACTCGCCTCCTAATATAGGGTGCAAGTAAGAGCAAAGTTTATGTTGAATACTTGATTTATTTCATAAGAGTTCCGCCAGCTTTAAAGCATAAATGCTCACAACTTGTTACCAGCAATAATAAAAAAAAAAATAAGCAGTATAACTAGAGTGGGTAAAATTAACTCCTAAAACCCAGTTACTAATCATCAATTCGAAATTTCAATTTTGAAAATATAAGGAAGAATTTATCACCCTTATCATCAACAAAAACATATCCATGAAAACGTTCCTTGAATGCGATAGCATCATCATCCTTCTTGAAAACGAAATAGACTCTCGAAAATGATATTCCTTCGCTGGAAAATCAATCACATGAAACGGACAGTTCAGAAGCAATGAAACCAAACAAAAGATATTGTATTTCTCAAAAAAAAAAAAAAAAAAAAAAGCTGAAAAATTAGAAAAAATTACACAAAACAAAATTAGACAGACAAAAAAAAAAAAATTACAGAACACTAAAACCACTCTTCCATATCTGACGAAACCTTAATACAATTTCATGCTAGACAGAATAAAGCAATTTATAAGATTTTATCAGTAACAGCGCTGTTCCAATGAATAAATCCACAGCTGCACATCAAATTATTAAATCGTCACTAGCCATATAAAACCGAGCAAAAAATTAAGGGAAAATTACAAACAACAGAGAATTTACGTAAAGACGAGAGGACCTTGATTTTGCAGCGACAAATTCAGAAAATTCGAATTCCGGAATTGGACTCAGTTGAGTTTTCAACTGCTCCCATGTCATAGCTGCCGGCAGTCGACGTAAAACGATCTGAAAATTAACACTTAATATCGAAACGGTACAAAGATGAATCGAACAGAAGACTTCAATTAAGGCCTAGATTAACCTAATATTTTTCACCGCAGAAATTGTTTAGCCTTCTTACTTTGCACTTGGGAATTTTTTAAAACTACCGAATTTGTTCAAAAAAATTGTTTCATGGAATTAGAATAAAAAAAATGCTTACCTTGAGCGGCATTTTCCGCCTGGCTTTTTCTTTTCCGGACGATATCGCGTATGACGCCGGCTTCGAAGAGTCATTTTTCATACTATAGTAATAACCAACTTCCTTTAAAAATCTCAAATTTCGAAATATTATACATTCATGAAGATCGATTGGAAAAACATTCAACAAATCAACCATGAATCAATGACCTCAACCCAACAACTCAACTCACCTCAAAAAAGTCTTCGAAAAATGCAAACACCACACCATAGAATAAGTTTTAAAACGGAATAACCCTGCCTCGCTTCAGAAAACTTAGAAACAATTTAAAGAAACTTTGATCTACACGCCCAACGATTGAAGTAATGTCAGTGCAGTGATCCCGATCACCGCTGCCCGTTTCACGGTTTACCAATAATGAAATCCAAATTCCACAACTACTGGGATTTGGTAAGCGAAAATCCGTTTAGAGAAAACAATCATTGCATATTCGCGACCAAATGATTAGGAAGCACTCACGCACTGCATGAAATAACATTAACAGTAAAATCTGAATTACTAGAATTAAAATTCAGAAAGATAATGAGAACATATTTCGGGAAATATATGTGCAGTAATGGTAAAACCATTCATGGCTAGTGGAAGTTATCTCTAGAAAATGTGAATAGCACTAAGTGTATGAAAGTTTTATCAATTTAATTCTCATAGAACAAATCAAGAAAAATAAGATTTGCACAAACTGTATATGTAAAGCATAGATATACAAAAAGTGACCTGGTACAACAAATCGAAGGTTAGTGTTTGAGCAAATCACCTCCAAGGAAATTGGAGGTGATTTGCTCAAACATCTTATTCATATTATACTTAACACATCATATACTCCTTTAAAAAATCAACCCCACACTTAAAAATAATTTTAACTCCCTTACATTAGCATTCTACTTTAAATTACTATAAATAACTGTTAACAAAAGTCACTCCCAACAAAGAAAACCATAACTGGAATCAAGACAAAAATATATTAACAACAAACAAATCTTACGGAAAGACCAATGAAAAAGATATGAAGAATTATGTGGAGTGTTAATCAATAAATTATGATGTAATGATAAAGCAATGTTCAAATTTAACACTTGGATTTTCTCTCAAAATTTAATTTTTACCAACAGCTGACCTCGTTGCAGCAAGCTCTCGTAATAATTCATCTTCAGTGAAACTTTAACCTAGAAATTCGGAACCGCAAGATATCATTTCAAATTTATGAAGATATTCTAACTTTTTCACTAATGAGTTTTCAACTCAAAATAACAGAGATTAATATAACAACAAATCCCATAAATTGCAAAATTTTAATGCCATGAGGCTATTGGAAAATAAAGTGAAGCATTAAAACATCTGTAGACAGAATCCAGAAAGAATCTCTATCACATTGTAACATCAGTCGGTTACGAAAGGAATCAGTATTGAAAGAGAATCGATCAAGACAAACACAGTTATACTTATTTGGTTATAACTTATACCTATAAAGTTTCATTCAAAGACTGCTGTGAATTAAGCTCGAAGAGATAATATCCAGCATAATATAAAATGTAGAGAGCATAAGACATGCTTTTCCTAAACATAATTGGCAATTTATAAAGTCCGGTAGGCAGAATTAGTTCTATACTGCTCCAGCGACTAATTTAAAATTTCTACAGTAACAAAAGCAAACAATTTAGTATCTTGAAACGTTAGGGTCTCGAACTACAGAGCAATGATGAAGTTTCAATCTCATCTCTAATGTGAACAAAGCAAGATGGAAATCTTTTGGAACAGAAAAAAAGTAAATATGAAGAACCTTTCGCAAGCAAAATAATTCACATTTTAAGCTCAGTAATAGATAAGAAATATGAAATATTAATAAAATGTTTTCAATGTAAGTTTCTCTTTTTTCGTTTTTTTAAGAATCAAGGCGTTCAATTTTGCAAAGATTGGTAAGTGCTGACTACTTTCACGTTTGTTTAAACAATAATTTTTAAACTCCCATGTAAAATAAATAATGTATGGTAACATATATAAAAAATACTGCATTAATGTCTTTATGAAAGAGGCAAGAACAAATAGAATAATTAATAAGGCAATAACCTGGAAATAAGATGTGGGGATTTAAATAAAAAAAATGGCACTTCATAGACAACTAAGTATTCAGATTGCGTATTTCATTAGTACGCTTCGTTCTTGGCACTTGCAAAACTAGTTGTTGAAGACGTTTCACAGCATGAAGCTGCATCCACAGTGTCCTCTTCCGCTTGCTCTTCATACTCTAATGGAGACGGGCTACGTGAAACAAGCGTTCTCAACCTACTACCAACAATCTGCAATTTATTAAAAAGCATATGAAATGGATCAATTTTATAGTAATTAAAAATTTTTTCCAGTGCAAAAAATCATTTTTGCCAATCAAGTTTATGCAGTCATTGTCTGAGAAATTTTTTTTTTTTTTTTTTTTTTTTTTTAGAAATTTATCTAGGAAGAAAAATATTTTATGCAAACAGTTCTCATAATGTATAAAATCATTCTTTACTACTTGGTGTTTCTACCTACTCAAAACAATTTTGTGTTTCCAGAACTTTCAGAAATACCTATCTTTAGGAACGAAGTATGAGACTTCGCTCATTTCATTTTTCACAAAAACCTGATGTCGCCACTTTTTTAATATCATTCTCACCTAAACGGTTACCATTTACTAAAAAAAAAGAAGCAAACACACATTAAAACCGATTCCGCCATCTTTTTGTAATGTTTCCAAGAAACCACGAATAAAGTCATCTTTTCTGTTACGCCATGTCTTTATAACTTCCAAACTTTTTTGTTTCAGTTGGTCAACCTGATTCTGCAGCTGATAACGTCTAGCCTGTAACACCCTATTAAATAACTGGAAGAAGTTAGAAATAAGTCAAAAAAGATATTAGCACAGAGTTATGGAATAATTATTTAAAGTGATATAGTTAACACAACTTACAGCAAGAAATCCAACATTGAGATCCTTAGCTGAATAACCACGTTGCAAATTACGGCGCACATAATTGTCGTAATCACGAATTATTCGACATACAACATCACTAGTTGAAACGCCTTCCGTCCGTTGCGTCTCAATAAACATACCTTCTCGCCGAAATTTCTCGTAAAGATCTGCATCACCAGGCGCAACATATGGTATCGCGTCGTGCGCTATAAAGTCAACCTAAAATATAAAAAGTTATTCAACGAAATAGAGTGAGTGAGATGTGATTAAAGTCGTGAGAAAAAGCAACCAGTAATACAACTTATGGTAGAAAATGATAGTCAAGTAAGCAAAATAGATAGGTTATTAATTACTATACCTTTAAGTACAACTTTGAAAGTTACAAGGTCAAGTTACAAACTGCGAGAATGTACTAAAAAGGGTCTATAACTTTAAAAGTCTAAAAGTTAAAAAAGATTCACGGAGCAGTTGAAGTAGTCAAATTACCAAAAATACTACAAGACGAATACCTTCAGGTTTTTTAGAAACTCTACAGTGCAAAACCATGGAGCATTTCTGTAGACTTCATCAACGTAACGACAATGGCGTACACCTTCATATCTCTCATTTTCAGATGTTACTGTACGGCCCTTATATTTAAGAGTTTCCGCATCACCACATACTAAATATCAGCAATAAATTAAAGAAACATATAGGTGAAAAGGAAGATTACAAAAAAGAAAAGCTAGAAAGCCTAAAAAACCACAACAGCATCATACCTCCAACAATAAGATATACATTTGGAAAAGCACATTTTGCTTGAAGTAGTTGATTGGCATGACCATAATGAAAGAGATCATAGACACCGTCAGCAAAAACACGCACGGGGCGCCCAGCTGAAAAATTCTACCGCAATTTCCACGAACTTCAAAAAAAAAGAAGATGAAATTTTGATAAACTAATAATGAAAGCATAAAATAAATTAGGCAATTTCAGCGTAATGATTTCGAATAGGTAATTTGAAGTTCTGCATACTTTTTATTTTTTCTTCCGCTTCTAAAAATTGACACAGTGAATGGAATTAAATCAGTTGTAACTTAATTTCTATTCTGCTGTTCATTTACCTTTGCCGCTCCTCGCCATTTCAAGGGTAATTTTTTGCGAATAATCAATACATGCTCGTTGCGCAATGACTTCTGGATCGTCACTATACGGTGCTGGTTTTATTAACGCCAATCTGTTTGGTGACTCAACCGTGCCGTTCCTCTAAATATTCCAGGCCACTTTAGAGAGCTTCTTCTTAATTCACCGAGATAACTAATCTCAGTTACTTTAATATTGAAATATCAACCATAAATAGTGCAATCATCGCCTGCATAAGATGTTTCACCTCGAAGGTTACTCTCAATTATTTCTCAAAGCATCTAGATATCATAGCAATTTTTTATAAAATAATAGCTTACCTCTGCTTTTGAGCATCTGGAAGAGTTGATATTATCAATATTCCGAGTTTTACGAAATACTTCATTGTCAGGGTCAGAAGTTTTGATGATTCGTTTTCGATATTCCGTGGACATCTAAATCCTAGAGCTTTCTATTCGATGCTAAAATATATGTTATTAATATTTCATTTATAGTGGTAATCTTGACTTTTAATAAATCATTTCGTATATCACGAATCCAAGTAACAGACAAAGATTAAAAAAAAAATCATATTTGCACATCGACCGAACAACCTCAACTGCAGTTAGGGAACCATCAGCGTAGAAAATTTTCATCTAACCTTTAATTTAATGGTTAGTTCACTGGACAAGATCTAACCCACACGGAACATCAATACAGTATGCGAATATTCTCTACAAGACACATCCTTGTTGTTGCACCTTTATTGAAAGGAAGGAAAATACGAAAGTCTGTTTTGATGCTGGGTGAGGTGTTGAAGTGGAAATAAATTGAACAAAAAAGTTCGGACTTTTTTGACTGAGATTTGGTCGATGTCGCGCGAAGCAACTTTTACGCGTTTCCCTTCTAAGCGACTATGTAGTCACTCTAAAATGATGAGAAAGAAATGAAAGTTTCGATACTAAAGGAAATAATGAGGTAAATGTTTGTTAGGAAGGAACACGGGAATTGTAAGGTGTTAACATTTCCAAAATCGCACACAACGCCACTTTCCACATGTGAACAACAAAGCAGCTGCAACGCGAAAGAGAATTGTATAGGATCGAGTGACCGACTTTCCCTCCCATATGACATTCGAATATCCGAATGTGCCACCGTAAGAAGGAAAGGTCACTGCACTGCACTTCATATTCCTATCGTCGTGTTGTTTTATAATGGTCGCTTCATTCTCGATCGATCCGTGCACTCAAGGCATGACAGTTCTTTGTTTGTAGTTGAACCATCATTGCAGAGTTATTTGATGATTTCATAAGAATTGAAATTACTTCTCCGTTTAAACGAAAAAAAAAAGTTCTTCAAGCAATAAACTCTTCGAAATTGTTATAAACACTCTCTTCAAATACTTCCAAACAATTTACAATAAGTCCGTTGTACAATGAAGGTACGGAGTTTTGGAAATCTAATGAAAGACAATGAGGTTCAAATCACTTGTCATACTTGATAAAAAGTTCTATACATTGCCACTCACTCCTGAATAAATGGGTTAATTTTTTAAATGGCTTAATTACAAAGCAAAACATACTACCTTCAGCACTGTAGATGAGCGATGATAAAAGAAATATAAGCAGAGAATTCTATCTTTGACAAATTCCTATTACCTCATTTAAAGCAAGATTGAAAAATCTTTTTCTATATATTTCAAGACTAAAAGATTTCTTTATCTACGCTTGATTCAGTGATACTCGACAATTACTAGTTCTGGCATTTCAAACAGTGACTGTCAAGGAGATCTGTGAATATGAATCTGAGCTTCCTTTTTTTCCATTACACCCCTCCAACACAGTCTATACGTACATCTGCATCATCTGACTTCGGGAACCTGACCGGTAAAAATACACATATGCGTATATGATATGATAAACAAGGAATCCAGAGAGCAGAATCGTAAAAAATAACAAATTACTAATTTTGAAGTTAATGAAACCCTTGTGTTACTCACATATTTTATACGTTGCATGCGTGATCTCTACAAAACCGGGAACTGAATCGAATGCAACATTTAATCTTCCATTAAACTGAACAATCTCGATCTACATTCCACCGCCCGTCTCACTGACAAGAAATGAAATTACATGAAAAAATCCCAACTACGTTTTCTGCTGATACTGAAAATTTGCAAATTGTTTCGAGTTTCGAGGACCTTTGGTCACATAATTTGTCACTTTTCAAAATGACCTTTTTTAAAGTGAGGATTCTAGAATTAGTTTGCAAAACTTTTTACATATACATATAACACAGCTCTTTAATTCCAAAACAAAAAGTTATCACATCACACGTTTAGTCGCAGTTTGCAAGCAGGCAATGCATAAACTTTCAAACTGTTAAACCCGATACTATACATAAAGCGATTAATCGTGAGCAAGGAAGTACTGAAGAGGACAGGACAGAAGCATAAAGCAGACAACAGGAATATTACATTAGCTATCAGCTTTTACAGTTGAGAACACGGCCAAAATTGAATAGAATGTAAGCAGCAAACAAACAACGGGAAGAAAAGAAGGAAATATCACAAAAATACAGGATTGATAAAACTTTTTGACCAAAAATTATATTGTATGAATCACTTTTCTACACATTGAAATACCAAAACCACAAAAATTTTAATTTCCTAAAATAAGTGCAAAACAAAATTCAAAAATTCTTTTGAAATGTTTGGAAAAAAAAAATCATCAGGCAGTTTTGCTGATCTGACGTATATAATCAAAATATCATATTAGCACTTTAACTGTAACGATAGAACACCTAAGCTCAGATGATTAATACAACATATGATAAAAAATAGCACGAAATTGAAAAAAAATATATAAATTAACCGGAAATGAAAACGTGTGAACAAATGATGCTTACTCTCATACTATACACTGTATTATTATATTAAAATATAAAAACTACGGCGAAGCAAAAGCAATAATTTAGCCGGGAGGAACCATTCTTACATTATCGTAAAGTGAACTCCTAGAAACACATTTACCAAATCCATCAATTCTGCTCAACTTACAATAATTCATTCACTACCAAATTACATTACTTTGAAGATAATGTGATCTAACTGACACAGTTTTATTAGACTAAGACATCACAAAAACTAAATGAAGCATAATAAAAAAATGAGACGGTTAATGAATGATCATAAATTTTTTTTCTGACAAGATTAGTTTTATCTTCATATCTGTTAATAAAAGAAAAAGAATATAAAATTTCGAAAATCAAACATAAATGTTGAACCTATTTTTACATGAGTTCCACACATTCTTAAAACACATTTGAAAAACATTTCTCAATCTCAAGGAAGTTAAAAAGTTTTTCAGCAGATCCCACACACACACACAAAAAAAAAAAAAAAAAAAGATAGATTTTTTTTTTTTCAATTTGAGAAATTGTTCGGAGCTAATAATGTTTTCTGTTTTCTGATTACGTAATGTTTTCTGATTACATAAAACGAGTTTCAACTTTTTAACTTCGGCAAAACAGCAGTATAACGCGCTAATAGGTAATAAATTCGTTCATAACAGCTGAAAAAATACTGGATTTTTGTTCTTCGAAAAGATTTCCGCATCCTTTTATCAAGTAACCAAATCTGTGGTGTTGCTATGCTTGAAAAGTACCTATTTAACCATTTTTTTTAAACAACCTTAAAAATGCTTCAAACTTTGGGAAGCAATACTATCACTTTGGATACTTGTTTTGCACACCAGATTTGAATTTTTTTTGGAGTGAAAATCAGTTCCATAAAGAAGCAACTAAAAATAATTAAAGTGAAGAAAAATGGGACAACCATTAAAAAGCAGGCCTCAAATCGTCGTTAACTATTCGATAAACAATCACATATTCTGGATAGGCCTGCAAAAAATGTCCCCTTTTCCAAAAAGTGAACAGATCTAATTTTTACAGTTTATCAAATTCGTCAGAGCACTATATTAAAATGGTTATTTAGATATTGATCAGTTTCCACTGGTAAGTAATATTTTTGAAAACACCATTCAAAAAATTCAATAGTGGCTTTTCAACTTCAAAAAAAAAAATTACAATTTTGATCTCATTCTCATTCCCAAATTCCCAAAATTCAAAGTCTATTCTCATAAACCATTCCTTTTTAAATGCTCGATATCTAAATTAAGACATCTCCTGAGAATACTAAGTAGTAAAATTTAACTTACAAATTATAAAAGCATTACTCACTTGCTCTCCTCTATATATGACATATTCCGGATAATTTAAACCACCTGAGCGCGGTTGCCCCATCACTGAATGATGACCAGGTGGTGAATGTGCCATTTTGTTACAGGAACTCTATAAAGAAGATATTTCAAATTATCTGGATGAAGAGCATAAAAATACTGTTAAGCAATAAGCTAGGATAAAAGAAAATAATTACTACTAACTAATTCAATGTATACTAGAACAATGTATGCTTATTGTTTAGTGAGTTTATTTCGGTCAAAAATTAACAAAATAAAGAACAAACCAACCTGCATAAAACATCTTCCTAACGTCACTCGACAAAGTAATAAATGTCGTACACAGATATAACAAGAACGATCACGGTGAAGACTGCATCCACTGCCTGCCATACCAAATACATACTGATTACTTTTGCTCGAATGTTCCGCAAAATAAATACCTATAGAAGTTTTTGTGTAGTATACAAACATCAAAAGGACGACCATAGTGAAGACTGCATCTAATGCCTGTTATATCAAAACAAATACAAAACATAATGCATCCGATTAGCTTTATATATATATTTAAATTATGATTAGATAAAACTTGCTTTTATAATCATTAACTCTTTAAGTTAAAAATCTTTCATTTATTAGCTCTTCAAATTTAGATAAATCCTAATTAACTCACCAGCACCAAACATACCACCCATATATGAATACCTTTCATCGAAACCTTTCTGTACAATGGAATGCACAAACGGTGATCCATGATACAAAAGTTTTTCATTATGCTCACCATAATTTTCTTCCGCTATATCTCCACGACGTCTTATATACCTTTGTAAAAAACATTACTTTGAAGATTACAGCTAACTCGAGAAAACGACTACTTTAAAAAACTGGGCCTTAAGAATTTGCATTCAATAATTTTTAATTATTTATTCAGATATTCCGAAACGACTTTATAAATCGCTACTACCGGACATCTCCAAGTATCGCTTAATTTATTCTGAAAATCCTTTAATGTCTTCCATAATGATAAAGATTTATCACCTTTCATAAATTTTTTTGTTGATAATCTTCTGTACTTCAAGCACTTCAAACTTGGTGTACATTCCACCCAAGCCAAGATCTCGGTGTGAAACAATTGTAGAATTCAATCCTTTTTCAATTTGTTGGAATACTTCATTTGAAGGCTCAATCTGTACCAACACTGTACCTATTGATACTGGTACTTGAACATTACTCGGCGAATTCCTACTTTCGTTACCTAAATACATATTTTAGGGATTATGTAACGAATGAAATTCCTATTAGATGAAATAATTGACGTAGATTAACGTAAAGCTGAAATGAAATAAATGGTTAATAAATAACGATCGGGATATTTCAAATCACTACGACTACGGCTATCTCAATCTCTGCTTCAGTTCTCCAAATACTCTATTAAAAAATCTGACATAATAACATAGTTGGTAGATAATCATGCTGATAATGAGTTCTGAAGAAAACAAGAAAATATATCAGTTTTTAAATTATACCGTGAGCTATCCATTACATCTTGAACCATTTTCACATATATAATAATAATAATATCCAAAAAAAAAACTCATAAGGTGCATTAAAAGTTATCAAGTTGGAGAAAAAAGATTATTATTTGATTTATATTTGACCATTCATTCTAATCCACATGCATTATCCTCACTTTTCCTTATACATTTCCCAATGTTCTTAAGCAATCGAAATCGAGTCCCGAAAGCATCAATTCCGATCGCTTTCAAATCATCATGTGTCATAATGGCCAAAACATCTAATGTAATTTTTTCCTTAGCAAATAAATTCGAAAGTGAACTAAGACCAATCGATCGTAAATAGTCTTCCATAGAAAACTTTGTCTCATTTTCATTACCTCCCTGAAAGTAGAATATTATATTAAACCTTAAGAAAATCTAAAAAACAATGTTGTAAAAACTAACGCAGCGAAATTTTTTCGTATGCATTAATTAGTGTCACAATGCTTGTCAAATTCAAAATTTCCAAGCCTATATCACACTGTTGTGTATGCTTTCCATGCTCCATCGTTTAACTG